GGTTTGCAGGCCATGAACCCTAAAGAGGGAGGGGGGTCCGTCCAGGGACTTCTCAATCTGGAACAGGACCAACCCTCAGCCGGGCCCTCAGTCGGACCCTCAGCTCTGTGTCTCCCATGGCTTTGGGGCTCTTATGGTTCGTGCTAAAATAACACAACAATTTAAGCACACTGATAAGCTGCTTTAAGATATTCATACAGAGCCCAGCAAAATGATCAGTTTTTCTGTTTTTACTATTTATAGGTATGTGTTTGAATCAAATGTACTTATTTTTATTTGATTCTATAATCTGCTGACACTGGAATGGAATGGCTGCCGTACATGTAGAGAAAGAGATTTAAGAAACATGGGGAGTGGTCTCAGAGCTGTACATGTAATCCATTTATAGATACTGTGAGCCCCCTATGTTTATGTGAACACTGTGATTAGCTGGTAAGGGTGTATACTAGTGTTGTAGGTGAGGGGACAGGGAGGGGCCCAGGCTGAGCGGGCACCAGTGGCGGACTGGCCATCGGGACGTCCGGTACCGAAGTGGGTCGGTCGGACGATGTGGGATAAGTCACTAGCACCCCCCCCCATCATGATCATTAAAGGGTTCTCAAAGCTGGTGAAGGTGAAGCTAGTTTGAATGACTTTGTATACTGCAGGGTAGCTTGTGAATTTACTCCAGGTGGAACTAAAGTCTGATTTAACACTTGATTATGTTTCACATCATTCATCCACATCAGTGAAGTAACTAAAGGTATTGGTTTAAAAATGCAATATATACCTCTGAATTGCAGTGGAGTAGAAGTACAAAGTAGCAGTAAGGCAAGGCTAGTCTTATTATTTTCAATTGTAAAATTGTAAAATAGTTCAATAAGAGTCTATATACAAGTGATTGGAATATGATATATTAGATAAATAAATTCTAAGTAGCAGCCAGATGAATGTTATGGATGTTTCAACAGGTGTTTAACAGTCTTCTGGCCTGTGGGATGAAACTGTCCCTGACTCTGGTGGTTTTAGTCCGGATTAGGGATGGGTACCGAGAACCGGTACTAAGTCAATACCGGTACCTGATTGGACGGTATCGGTATACCGTTAAGCCGCTGGACAAACGGTGCTGCTATCGGTATATCTGTTACGTCTACTTCCTTAGTTTAGCTTTAAACCATTCTGGTTGGTTGGGAACCCTCATCCCGTGTGATGTATCCGGTTTGAGACCCCTCTGATTGGCCGCTGTAAATGCCACTCCTCATCTCTCTCAACAGCACTCTTATTATTGTTGTGAGACTCCCGCAGGCATGGCGGACAGAGCGAAGCGATCGAAGGTCTGGATGCACTTTTAAAAAATGTAGTGACGATAGTGCAAGGTGCAATCTATGTACTCAATTAGTTGCTTGTAAAGGGGGTAACACAAGCAATT